GAGGAGAGAGAAAGGAAAAGATGGGGCTTAAGGATGGCACATTGGCTACAAAGGGAGATAGAAATACTGTGGGACAAACACACCTTGTATAAGCAGGGAAAAGGGAAAATTGGAGAGATAGGTGAAAAGAAAGGGAAGAGTAAGCGGGCGACATTTTTCAGTGTCACTGGGGACGTTTAACTGCACCACGAGGACGGATGTGCGTGTGTGTGTTGGGGGACAGTAAGAAAAGGAGAACAGATTGGTTTAGAAAACAACCACAGGGATGCTGAGGAACTGGAGGTCACAGCCTCAGCAGTAGTGTTGGGTGGTTGCCACAGGGGTGTGTGCGTGTGTGTGTGTGTGTGTGTGTGTGTGTGTGTGTAAGGACATCCAAAAGGGAAGATGTGTGTGTTACATGAGCACTGAGAAGAGACTAGAAAGAAATAACTGGAGAGGTGGATTGTGTTATTACAAAGGTAAAAAGGGACATCCAATGGTTCAGTGGGAGATATCTTGACTGTGTGTCTATAAGGAATCTGTCACCATTTCAAACAGCTGAGTGAGAGCAGGGGAAAGGACACACACGTGTCGCTGTAGCATAGCTGCTTCCGATTTAAAGAGACAGACACATGTTTTAGAAATGCACACCAGGGAACAGAGGTTTGGGCTGGAATACGTCTGCAGAAATGGACGGATTTTGATTTCAGAAACAATTGAAGCAATTAAGCATCAATGTTATTAACTGCGGGATTTGGATTAACAGGAAATAAGAGACAAGGATTGTACCATGTGCCTTACAGGATCTGTATGAAACCCTGTGTGCTTGTCATATTTTACATTTGCTGATAGTCTAATTAAAATTACGGTTTTGTAGTTTTAAGCCTATTATATTTGAGATCACCTTTATGCTAGTGCTGTGGTTTTCAAACTAGGGTATGCAGATTATTTTAGGGGGGGAAAAGTCCAAACAATTTACAATTTACATTTTTAACAGTGAGGAATGGGAAATTATAGATATTAAGAAAATACATTTCTTATGAATTCTTATGAATGAAAATACATAGATGCCTTTATATTCGTAGGCTTACAAAAAAAAAAACTAAAACTTGATGAAAAAATGTTTTTGGTTATATATGCCTTTAAAAATGTAGGTTACTAATTTATAATTAACATCTGCCACTAATTTAATAATAATAATGTAAGCAGACAGTAGCTCAGAGATAGAAAATCAAATAATTATGAAAACCTACCATTTAAATTAATCAGAACCGCCAGCCTCAGATCTTGGTTTGAATAGATATGGCCGTACTCCAAAAATGAATCAGCATTCTGGCAAGTCTGCAGGTACAGGTGAAGGTGGTGGTGAGAAATCCTTCAAATTCAAATGAAAAGTGTCCTTATTGCCTCTTTTCATGATACAAGCTATGGTATTACTGACCTAAACTACTGTGTTGCAGTGTCACTGCATCAGGCCATATTAATACTATTAATATTATGCTTAGAAGAGGCACACAAATAAGCTTTTTTATTATTATTTCATTTCATTGTTTGTTTTTGTTTTTCTTTTAACTATAACAATTAGAATAACAATTAAATGTTCTGTAACCGAGTGTGCCCAGTCCAAAAATGACAGATTTGAAGAATTACCAAATTGAAACGTAACATATAGGATATGAGCATGAAAGAAATTTACAAATATTCACCTTCGTTTTCGTAATTTGCTGGATGTCAGCATAAACTTGTCTCCTTCCGTTTAAATAAAGCCAGCTGCCTTCAGCTGTTTGGCGCACCCTTGTGGACAACATGCTCTGCGATATGGGGACAATGCACTTCTACTACAAGAAACCACATAATCAGGGATGAAATCATTCACATTTTTACATTTTCTATTTATACACAATTATGTCACAAATAACGGGTTAGCACTACAAATACAGGTACAGCATGCCAAAGATAGCCATTCATTTAAAGACCTTTCAGCTGTGCTACCATTCTGGACTGCATGAACAACAGGATGCAAGAAAGCTCAACACTTTCTTCTCATTCACAAATAAATAAATAAATTAAAAAAAAACATACACAAATGTTATGTCTATCTAAAATTATTTTTTCTTATTAGCATGGTTGAATTTGATCATTGAAGGTCTGCAGCAAATACACTGGTTAATAAAATGGAATTTTTGTGTTAACATTTAATTTTATTGCAGGTTTGCATAATATTCTGAGTTTGCTTTTCACAGTTTTTTATTAATTTTGAGGAATACTGAATCTGTTTTTAGGCAAGCGAGATGAGTAAATGCATATTCACATTTAAAGGAGTCATATGATGTGATTTCAATTTTTCCTTTCTCTTTGGAGTATTACAAGCTCTTGGTGCATAAAGAAGATCTGTAAAGTTGCAAAGACTAAAGTCTCAAATCCAAAGAGATATTCTTTATAAAAGTCAACCACGCCTACCTAACATTTATCCCATCCTAAGTGCACACACACCCGGAGCAGTGGGCAGCAATTTTTTGCTGCAGCGCCCGGGGAGCAGTTGGGGGCCTTGCTCAAGGGCACCTCAGTCGTGGTACTGAAGGTGGGAGAGAGTGCTGTACATTCACCCCCCCCACCTACAATCCCTGCCGGTACGAGACTCGAACCCACAACCTCTGGGTTACGCCAAATATTCAGATGTATGCAGCGCATTTTATGGAGGACTGTTTCCTGATCTGCCGGCTGTTCTGATTCACTGACTGTAAGTACGTTTTTATATTTAAAGTGAAGTAAAGTGAAGTGACATGTGGCCAAGTATGGTGACCCATACTCGTAATTAGTGCTCTGCATTTATCCCATCCTAAGTGCACACACACCCGGAGCAGTGGGCAGCAATTTTTTGCTGCAGCGCCCGGGGAGCAGTTGGGGGCCTTGCTCAAGGGCACCTCAGTCGTGGTATTGAAGGTGGGAGAGAGCGCTGTACATTC